TTTAGGAAACACAAGTACAATTTATATGCATATATATATATATATATACATTAAAAAACGTTAAAATGAAACATCTTCAATTTAAATCATAATTTGGTGAGAAAAAAAAACAAAGGCCAATGGCCTATCAAGGCTATTCCCAGAGATAATACAATTTACATAAAACGTTTCTTAATGTACTAAAAATGAGATAGAAATACAGAGATTAAAAATAACACAAAGCATCAATATACCGAATTAAACCAGACAAATCCATTACAACAACAATAAAAGAAAAGGAAAGGCATTTTATGTAGAAAATAATCCTAGTTATACACATTTATATACGAGATATTTCTTGAGCTTTCTTTTGAAAATTGATACTGTTGGGTACTGTTGGGCATATTTGAAGTTCTTTGGGCAATTTGTTCCATAATTTTGGTCCGGCATAAATAACTGTCGTTCTTGAGAAATCATAAGTAAACATTGGCAGATGGAAAAGATTTGATTGACAAGTTTCATAATTAGTCACATTTCTATTACAAATAATCATCTAGAATCTTTGGAAGTATACTTGTAGAGTAAGAACAAATAAAGATACCAATCTGTTGCTTATGTATCGGTCACTCGAAATTTCAGTACAAAAGGGACAAAGGAGAGGAAAATAAGTTTTATTCTCGCTTTCAGGAGATTCATTGAATCACCCTCTCTCTCTCTCTCATTGAAGTTATGTTGTTTTAAGAACAATAGCTCCTTTCCTTACCGGCCCTAGGTATATTATACGTTTGCTTCGGGACCTAAGTGGTTAGGTGCTTCACTGTGTACTTTACTATGTAAAAGTAATTATAAAGCTTAAAGTCCCGCCATCACGTTAACACGAGGATGTACATCTACGTGCGTGTGATTGGTATTTTTATTTTTTTACCATAAAACAAATATACAACCTGTAGATGTACATCATCGTTGGTTTACAACATTTTAGTTCAAGTTCAAATTTTATTTACACATCTGATTTTAGGAAACACAAGTACAATTTATATGCATATATATATATATATATATATATATACATTAAAAAACGTTAAAATGAAACATCTTCAATTTAAATCATAATTTGGTGAGAAAAAAAAAACAAAGGCCAATGGCCTATCAAGGCTATTCCCAGAGATAATACAATTTACATAAAACGTTTCTTAAATGTACTAAAAATGAGATAGAAATACAGAGATTAAAAATAACACAAAGCATCAATATACCGAATTAAACCAGACAAATCCATTACAACAACAATAAAAGAAAAGGAAAGGCATTTTATGTAGAAAATAATCCTAGTTATACACATTCATATACGAGATATTTCTTGAGCTTTCTTTTGAAAATTGATACTGTTGGGTACTGTTGGGCATATTTGAAGTTCTTTGGGCAATTTGTTCCATAATTTTGGTCCGGCATAAATAACTGTCGTTCTTGAGAAATCATAAGTAAACATTGGCAGATGGAAAAGATTTGATTGACAAGTTTCATAATTAGTCACATTTCTATTACAAATAATCATCTAGAATCTTTGGAAGTATACTTGTAGACATAGGCGCCGGAAGTGGGGGGGGGGGGGGGGGCAGGGGGGGCAGTTGCCCCCCCCCAGTCAAAAAAGTGGGGGGGGCAAAACGCATTTTTGCCCCCCCAAAACGCCCCCCCCCCCCACCCCCTCCAAAAAAAAAAAAACAGTAAAGGAGTAAACATGGTTTGTATTTTTAGTCCAAAAGAATGTAACAATAAAAAAAAACCTGAATTAAATCACATATACAATTCCATTCAAAGAAAAAGGAAAGTTCACAGGAATTAAATTTCATAAACATTGCGCATGCCACCTATACGGTATTTTAAATGGAGGTCTCTATAATAGCGATACGCGCATATCGTGGACATATTGTGCGAGAATGGGAAAGCGTGTCCGGTTTTTTTGTTATAGGGGTGAGAAGACATGAGCCCCTGAACGCTGGCGTACTGATGGGGGGGGGGTGATGTATTTCTTATTCGAAACAAGTGATTTACACATGTTGATGTTGTGACATGATTTTCCGGCATTTTTTCTCCATTTTTTTGTAAGTCATACCTTTTTATGCGTTTGTTGGAAAAAAAGAAATTCCCAAATTACAGTCAGGTGAAATACGATTATTTAGAAGCCTTTATGTCATGGTCTGCAAAGTGGCTGGGCACGAGCCCCCCCCCCCCCCCCCATCCTTTTTTTAAAAGTATGTTAAAGAGAAAAAGAAAGAAAGACGGAGACAAAAATAAGTGACCTGCCAATGTCACAAATAAGGTATAAAAAATGCTCATCTGACCTTAAATAAATACCTAAAACCCCTGAGCTTACGGGGGCTCTGCCCCCTGGACCCCACCAAGGGCCCTAAGGCGGGCCCTAGGATGCTCATCTGACCGTTATTAAATACCTCAAACCCCTGAGCTTCCGGGGCTTTGCCCCCTGGACCCCACCAAGGGCCTAAGGCGGCCCCCTGGATGCTTATCTGACCTTAATTAAATACCTAAAACCCCTGAGCTTCCGGGGGCTCTGCCCCCTGGACCCCACCAAGGGCCCTAAGGCGGGCCCTAGGATGCTCATCTGACCGTTATTAAATACCTCAAACCCCTGAGCTTCCGGGGCTTTGCCCCCTGGACCCCACCAAGGGCCCTAAGGCGGCCCCCTGGATGCTCATCTGACCTTAATTAAATACCTAAAACCCCTGAGCTTCCGGGGGCTCTGCCCCCTGGACCCCACCAAGAGCCCTAAGGCGGGCCCCTGGATGCTCATCTGACCGTTATTAAATACCTCAAACCCCTGAGCTTCCGGGGCTTTGCCCCCTGGATGCTCATCTGACCTTAATTAAATACCTAAAACCCCTGAGCTTCCGGGGGCTCTGCCCTCTGGACCCCACCAAGGGCCCTAAGGCGGCCCCCTGGATGCTCATCTAACCTGAATTAAATACCTAAAACCCCTGAGCTTCTGGGGGCTCTCCCCCCCCCCCTTTGAACACGTCAATTGCCTTACAGAGGGCCCCTGGATGCTCATCTAACCGTAATTAAATACCTAAAACCCCTTAGCTTCCGGGGGCTCAGCCCCTTGACCCCCTGCTGAGGCTCATGCCCTGGACCCCACGCCAATTTACGCTCTACCTGATCGATAATACTCCACTTTGAAAAACATTCCGCGGGACCTGCATGTAACGTGTAAGACTGGTGGTAATGCAGATTTTTCGTCTGCCCCCCCCCCTTCCGAACTTTTTTTTCTCATTACGTCACTGCCCCTGGAATGTGAGCCCCCTGGAATGTTTGCCCCCCCAATCCCAAACTGCTTCCGGCGCGCCTGCTTGTAGAGTAAGAACAAATAAAGATACCAATCTGTTGCTTATGTATCGGTCACTCGAAATTTCAGTACAAAAGGGACAAAGGAGAGAAAAATAAGTTTTATTCTCGCTTTCAGGAGATTCATTGAATCACCCTCTCTCTCTCTCTCATTGAAGTTATGTTGTTTTAAGAACAATAGCTCCTTTCCTTACCGGTCCTAGGTATATTATACGTTTGCTTCGGGACCTAAGTGGTTAGGTGCTTCACTGTGTACTTTACTATGTAAAAGTAATTATAAAGCTTAAAGTCCCGCCATCACGTTAACACGAGGATGTACATCTACGTGCGTGTGATTGGTATTTTTATTTTTTTACCATAAAACAAATATACAACCTGTAGATGTACATCATCGTTGGTTTACAACATTTTAGTTCGAGTTCAAATTTTATTTACACATCTGATTTTAGGAAACACAAGTACAATTTATATGCATATATATATATATATATATATATATACATTAAAAAACGTTAAAATGAAACATCTTCAATTTAAATCATAATTTGGTGAGGAAAAAAAACAAAGGCCAATGGCCTATCAAGGCTATTCCCAGAGATAATACAATTTACATAAAACGTTTCTTAAATGTACTAAAAATAAGATAGAAATACAGAGATTAAAAATAACACAAAGCATCAATATACCGAATTAAACCAGACAAATCCATTACAACAACAATAAAAAAAAAGGAAAGGCATTTTATGTAGAAAATAATCCTAGTTATACACATTCATATACGAGATATTTCTTGAGCTTTCTTTTGAAAATTGATACTGTTGGGCATATTTGAAGTTCTTTGGGCAATTTGTTCCATAATTTTGGTCCGGCATAAATAACTGTCGTTCTTGAGAAATCATAAGTAAACATTGGCAGATGGAAAAGATTTGATTGACAAGTTTCATAATTAGTCACATTTCTATTACAAATAATCATCTAGAATCTTTGGAAGTATACTTGTAGAGTAAGAACAAATAAAGATACCAATCTGTTGCTTATGTATCGGTCACTCGAAATTTCAGTACAAAAGGGACAAAGGAGAGAAAAATAAGTTTTATTCTCGCTTTCAGGAGATTTATTGAATCACCCTCTGTCTCTCTCTCTCTGTCTCTCTCTCTCTCATTGAAGTTATGTTGTTTTAAGAACAATAGCTCCTTTCCTTACCGGCCCTAGGTATTTCATAACATGTGAATGAAATAATTTGTAACATGGCACTTGAAGATTTATGCATTAAATTTGATTACATTACGATAATGGCCTATATAATTATGTCGGGCAGGCACAGTGCAGTGCATGCCGACTTCGGTGGTAGCGGTCAAGAGAGTCATGATAATGATAATGGACCACCATTTGAACTCTTTTAGCGAGAAAAACAAACGGCTTGAGCGGTTAGGTATCATTGTGCAGTGCCTGCCAACACCAGAGAATATAAATAAATGTGTACCTCCTCCACTTTACGAAATACCGGACCCGCCCCTGAAGAGTGCATATTATCTTAATAATAACTGGATTAAAATCGACAGACTGGAGTTAATCTATTTTATTTTTTGAAGAGCGGTAATAAGATTATTCTTTGCCATGAAGCATCGTTAACCCTATCTTGCCATTCAATTTAATTTCAGTGAACACGGAATTTCGTTTCCACGAGAAGGTCGACGTCTTCATTTATTTTGATCTTCTTAACCCGTCTTCTTCAAAGTCATCAAGCAGACGGATTAACGATGAATCCAAACGGTCGGGTAAAGACGAGCAGGCCTGACGCTACCCCTTCTGTCAACCAAACTTCACCGGGAAAACATGTCAAGTCGACTATCTTACCGCTGTGCTGTCTGGTGGTTGTGCTCTGTATCTATCTCCCGACGAGGACCAAATTCGCCACGCCCATAGTAGAACCAGTGCCTAGCCCCAGAATACCCAGGTATAACACATTTAAGATTTATTATATAATATGTAAGGCCTATACAACTTAGTTATTCATACCATTACAAAGTTTTGTAATATCTCAAGTATATGAAAACTTCATTTGTCCCGATTTAGTAAAAATGTGACATCTAATTCGTCCAGTCCACCTTTCATTCTGGAGTAACGAAAAACACAAAAACCTCATATAATTATAGAAAGGCTATAAATATTTATGTTATTAACTTACTGTATATTTATGTGTGAGCCAATTCAATCAAGCCTGTTATTACACACGCTCGTTATTAACGCAATATTAGCACCGTTCATTTTTCATTTCCATTTTGTAAAACACTCTCTCAAGACCGCTACTTGCGCCATTTATATACTGTAGCCAACAATGCCTAAGTGATGACCGCTGATCCCCATGGTCCCCTCTTTCTTCTGTTAAATTTAGAGCTAATTTGATGAGAAAACCACCTGCCAGTGACCAGCAGGGAGTTCTTATCCCTCTACCTGGCCAAACTAGCGCAGGCAGGCTTTAAAGGAAACCTATCCCTAATAAATAACTTTAGATGTTCTGAGAGATTTATTATATTCTTGCCCATTAATCTACAAGATCCTCCACTAAAGTGTATGAGAGAGGCATAACACGAGAATAATGAACAGTTTCTATAAGCACGACATGGACATCGCCAATTTCTTAATAACGTGACGTAATATGTGAAGTCGTTTATTTTTTTATTTATTTATTATAGTTTTATTTTAACAGGGTGGTCTCATTCAAGTTCATTTCTGAACCTGCTCTCCCAGAGAGCCCTGCATCACATAAAAACATGTACAATAATAACATGAGTTCAAAACATACATACAAAGGTAAAATATATATGGTATATACACATAGGTAACGAAAAACACGCATTAACAATTATAAGGAAAAAATACAATTATCAAATTGAGAAAACTAGATGAATGAAATGTAATAAATAAATAAAGGTCAAATTAACGTGAAAATATGTTAATAAGGGAAACTGAAAGGTTTTGACATTCTTTTTAAAACTTTGCAGCGACTTACAATTTTTAATATGATAGGGTAATTTATTGTATATTTTAGCTCCTGAAATCGCTAAGGTTTTCGTTTTAAAATTTGTTTTACATTTTGGAATGAATAATGGACTGTTTAAAGCATAACGAGTAGAATATAATACCGGTCTTTTACTTATACATGGATTTAGATATGGTGGTGATAGGTCGTTTATGATTTTAAAAATCAAGATGCATTTCTGATATTTAATTCTTTCCTCTAATGACCGCCATTTCAATTTACTCATTAAAACATTTTGGGGTGTAAAATATTCGGCACGAAGAACTAATCGTGCATATCTATTTTGTAATTTTTGCAACTTTGTTAGATTTTGTTTCGAAGTATTTCCCCATACTGAATTACAGTAGTTTAAATGCGGTAGGATAAGAGAATTTATCAAGTAAATGTAGTCAAATGTATGGATGCTTCCTTCCCAGATTTGTGTGGTAATCTCTTTTCATTCACCTGCTATTATCCTTTGTACTACAATTGCCAGAACGCAAATTGCATAAAATTATGTTGATGCTCTTCTGGGGTGAAGGCAAGTTGGCATAAATAATTGTGAGGAACAATTCTGATAACCATTTTAACTTTCCACCTCTCCCCAGATTTCACCCATTGATCGAGGGATCTGGTCTAAAGACAGACTCATCAAAAAACGAAAGCAGTTTGACGTTTTCCACTGCAGATGCATCACCAAGCCTTACAAGAAGTTTGTCCAGAACATCGATCGTCACCCAAGCTAGTCCAGATCTCACTACATCCAGTCCTCCGGACCCACAACACAGTTGTAATCCCGTGGAAAGGATAGTCTACGTCAAAACGCACAAGACGGGCTCCACAACCACTGCATCCATATTGGAGCGATTTGGATACCTGCGTAATTTGAGTTTCGCCATGGGTAAAGGAAGTCATATCATATCAAACGAGCAATTGTTCAAACGATCAATGCTATACCAAATCCCGAACAGAACTCGGCAAGATTTCGACATGCTTGTAAACCATGTTCGATATAACAGGAATGAAATGGATGTTGCCGTGCCAGGGGCCAAGTATGTCACCATTATAAGAGATCCCGTGACCCAGCTTGAGTCGGCCTTCGGGTATTTTGAGATGGGCAATCACCTTAAAATTGTTTCGAAAAACCCGTTTGAGACTTTCATGTCTCAGCCACAGAAGTACTACGCAATGAAAACATACTTCTGGACAAGGAGTAGAAATGGACAGATTTATGATTTAGGTTTCGACCACGAAAACGATGAAAATGTAGCAAAAATTCAGGAAAAAATCGACAAGCTCTCCAAAGAGATAGATCTGGTTATGATCACTGAATATTTCGAAGAGTCGCTCATTCTTTTACGAAAGCTTTTGTGTTGGGATTATTCAGACATTCTCTACATCTCAAATGGGATCCGTAGTAAAAGTCACAGATTCGCTGTCAACCAAGACATGGCGAATAAAATCAGAGCATGGAGCGCGGCTGATGTCATGCTCTACGAACACTTCAATCGAACATTTTGGAAAAAGGTGGATGAATACGGACCAAGCTTCCAAGAAGATTTGGCGCATTTTAGAGAAATCGAAACAAATGCTATGAATATGTGTATTAATTTGAAGAAGAATAACACTGGGGATAAGAGAGAAGATAAACTCACGTTGAAGAATAATTCTGAGTTCTGTCAAGACCTTATTCGCGCTGACGTACCTTATACGTCTTTGATTCGAAAAGGTATGGTGCGTCGTGCTGCGGAGGAAGCAGCGAAGAGATCAGCACCTTGATATAATATTCACCTCTTTGATACTTTATTTATTATAGGTGCCTTCTGTTATTTATCATCAACTCGTGGGTAGGCTGAGAATAGGAGAATGTCATAACAATGATTGGTGTATCATTATGCGGACATGACTACAATGTGTCAATGAAGATAATGTAACGCCGCATCTCAGTCGTGTGCAATCCAGTCACAAACAGTGTATACCTACATGTACAAACAAATTAGATCTGTTGGTGAGTGAAAATACCACGAGTCCAAGTTAGGATTAGACGCCATTTATGATACAAGGATTTATTATGCTGAATATTTTCATCTAGGTTTCAACTCGTTAAGGGGCATGTGACAGACATCAACCCTACTTCTGGCAGAAACTCTTTATAATACATGTACCTACAGGTAATGCTGAACATTCTCCGCAAGGTTTCAACCCGTTACCTTTTTTTCGCTACATGAGCTTAAATGTTTTGGTCCACTGTCATGGCCCTAATGACAGCCTCCACCGCACTGTGCCATTCAGTCGTCCATTTCTTTTTATCATGGTTTTGTCCATGTATCATTGCTATGTACATGAACAACGCTATTCCCCCACCCCACCTCCCCCCATAGTGTGAGCCTCTCCGGCTCCCGATCTGATATGCCTCTTGCATGTGCATGGGCGTATTTCATTTGCGTTATTACACCCCCCCCCCCCCCTCCACTCAGTGTTATTAAGGGTACGCATTATGCATGTTCCCTCACTTTGAAAGCACACCCCTCCTATATCCAGTGTGTAAAGTCAATACGGGCCGGACTTTACTGGAGATTTTTTGGAACGAATGCGGTCCCTCGGACCTGGGGGGGGGGGGGGGGGGGGGTAGTAGGTGGTTCTGATATTTGCACGTGCTTTATATACCATCGTCACGCTCATAATTTTGGCGCGTCAAAATATCGAATCAGTCGCTGACACAGTCCATTTTATGACTTGCAAATGACTTGAAGTACCTTGAAGTACCTTCAAACAAAGTACACTGAGACATATTACGATAATCAGTAAATCAAAGGTCAGAGCCTTCATAATATCCGGGGGGGGGGGGGAGGGGGTACTCAGATTGGGTTTGGACTGGTGTGCCGCTCAAGCCTCGAAACCCCTACCCATTATTAGGAGTCATTTGGGGCATTTTCTTCGAGAAAAAAAAATCCAATTTTAATGGTATTTTTGTTAAAAGTGGGACCTATGTTTAGGGATTTTTGTGAAAAAGTTATCCATTAGAGCGGCACACCCCGTCTGTCCTAATATGTGAGTACCCCCCCCCCCGGGCATTATTTACCCAATGCATTTTGGAGAAATATGACATCGTGACCAATGCCGTACTCTTTTTTTTTTCAAGCGGAATTCGGGACATTTAGCCATAAGAATGTCTCTTGACTCCACGAGTTCTCTCTTCATGTTTGTCCAGAACATAAATGGCGCCCGCTCCGTCAAGAAGTTCATTTACTTATCTCTCAACGACTACGGTAGTAGTAATGTTGTGCATGTCCTTTTTTCCCCGACGTGGGACATTTTATGGTTGTTGGCAGAGGCGGCGGACCCGGGGAGAGCAGGGGTCACAGTGTCCTCACTTTTTCAAGTGCCCCCTTTTAATTCTAATAGATGCACGTTCCGCGTTCTTATACCACCTCTGATAAAGTGCCTCCTTCAACAATGATAATTGCCCTTATTCAAATCTAACTGAGGTTTACTTTAACAAGTGCCCTTTTCCTTTGTAATAAGTGCCCCTTTACCACCTGATAAGTGTCCCCTTTTATGTTGGCACGTGCCCCCCTTTCTGTCTAATATGTGCCCTTTTTACTTCTGATAATGCCAAATCTCCCTTTTTTATTTTAAATAAAAGCCCCTTGCCCTTCTCATAAATGCCTCTATTGAAATTTCATATGTGCCTTTTTCATTAGACAAGTGCACATTTTCATTCTCACAAGTACCCCTATTCATCTCAGATAAATGCCCCTTTTCAGGTACAAGAAGTTACCCTTACCACCTCTGATAAGTACCTTTCACCTCTTATAATAACCTATTTAAAATCTTAGTGGTGCCCTTTAACAAGTGCCTCTTTTCCTTTGTATGCCCCCTTTTCATCTCCGGTGAGTGCCCTAATTCAAATTTGAGAGGTGCTCCCTTTAACTTGTAATAAGTGCCCCTTTTCATTTGAAATAAATGCCAATTTTCGTTGCCATAAGTGCTTTGTAGGTGCTCCTTTTTTTCTAGAGAGTGCCCTCTTTTGTTGGTGTCCCCTTCCCCACTTTGAAAGACGCTCCGCCGCCCCGGTTGCTGTTTTGGGGTGGTGGTAGTAGGGAGGGGGGGGGGGAGGTGTTAGAGAATGATGTTGATCCCGTTATATAATATGTTTCAAGGTAGGGATAAATGATTGGTTGATGGGCATGCAGTGTACTCCCTTTCTGCATTTCGAAACTTTAGGATCTCAATAGTACCCATTAAACAAACTTTTTCTGTTAAGTAAGGTATTTGCCAGAAGAAAGCGTTTTGTATCATAATATTAACTCTAAAATACTCGGTACTTGAACTGCTCTGAAATGTTGTATGGTATTTATTCGCCTTTATTTATTCAATGTACCTCATTTATTAATGCCGTTATATGAATAGGGGGTTCTGATCATTTATATTTCGATTTTTTTTGATGGAGTACAATAACAAGCATTTTCTCTTAATTCGAAATAGTATATTATAGGTTTGCGATCATGAATGTGGAGAAGGTGAAATGTTGTGTAATATCTGCTCTATATATCCGTTGTACTATCGTGTAATTTATGGAGGGACTTATTATACAATATTCCGACTATTGGAGAAAATCAGTTTCACGTGGAAATTTTGATTACGTTCACAAGGGTTAGTGTAAACAGTGAAGTACAATGTATTAGTTGCCTACGTCCTGCGTAGAAATTTATGGCAATGGCAAACAAATTCTGATGTTCAATGTAATGTGCTTTGTTTAATGTAATGATATGATTTTGTACATGTACTGGGTGATATATTTTAATGAGGTCAAAACGAGTAATTTGAAAAATAACAATGATAATGACTAGGATAAATATAAATTTGATGTTGTTTATACACAAGATAGACAAATCGGTATAAATATCTGTAAAGCGCTTAGAGGCATCGTCGACATAATATTACCAAGAACATTATCATTATTATTACTAATACCGCTCTTTCTGTAGACCCTACAATTATTATTACTACAGCAAGCATCGCCTGGTCCCCATTTTGCACTAGGTTCAAGAGGGAGAAATATTAGCGAAATAACTTGTCCAAGGATGTAAGGGCAGTAAGCACTGAGCAAGGATCAGATGCAGGACCTCACGAATGAAAGTTTTTTTTTTAATCATCGGTATACCACAGTCCTCCCTCTATTGTGTACAGGATAGTTCGATTGTCGATGGAAAACGGCGATCGGTTACATCAGATTGCACATTGTTAAAATGGAAAAGGGTAAAACTAATAATGCGGTTCCGATAAAATTGTAAACCTTTCTCTCCTTCTCCCCCTCCTATCCCCTCCCTCTTTTCCCTTTCGTATATCTTTTGTAACCGGGCAATAATCATGTTTTTTTTCACTGAGGTCAAAGCTATATGTCGACTTTTTCAATGAATTCTATTCGTATCTAGTCAAAGTGCACAACATATCTTAACAATAATAAATTATATCTTTTTCTCTCATACATTTTGATTTTGTTCATTTTTATATTTGTTTTAATTCATAAGTAGAGATTGTTTTCATGTAGCTGTGGTATATCAATCAGAAGAGAGTATATCCTTTCACGTTACTCGTACTGATTGATAAGCTTGGTATTCTTCACAGTCCTTATAACACAAGGCCTACGAAAAAAATATTTAGGTGCCAAAACATGGTCGGTCGGTCGGAAATCTTTTTTTTTTTAACTTTTTTTTTTCTCCCTCTTTGGGCTGATATTTCTCAGCTTTGAATGCTTTAATTTTTTTTCTCTAAAAAACGGTTAAAAAAAAAACTTTTTAAAAAAAGCCGACCGTAGATTCCAAGATTTTTGGGTCGGCCGCCAAGGGCAATACACCATCTTTTTTTTAAAGGCCCAATTGCAGTTATTTTCTATAAATCAACTCAGGCAATTTCAATAGCCTGTCCCATGCATAGACATCATCTTTAGGTCTTCATACGTCATTGTCGTGTTCGCACATTTCAATAAGTCAGCACAAAGCTATTGACATTTCGTTCGGTTGATTTTTGGAAAGTAGTTTCTATAGGGTTTTATTAAAAGGTATGAGTGTGAGGGCATGTGGTTGCGTGTCTGTTCGCAAATGTGAGTGTGGGTGTATGAGTAGGAATGAAAGTGTTTGTGTTCGATTTCCACGTCATAGATTCGATTTTCCGTATTGCTCTAACCCCTCCCGTACTCCCCCGTCTTCCTGTCTCCCCCCCCCTCTCTCTCTCTCTTTCTCTCTCTCTCTCTACCTCTCTCCCCTATATCTCTGTCCTCATCCTCCTAAACCCCCTTTATCTCTTAACCCCTCTTTCTCTAATATCTCCCTCCTTTTCACTCCCTTACTCTCACGAACCCCCTCTACTCTATTCCCTCTCTTTTTAATTACATCTTGTCTCCCCTCCCTCTCTCTGTCTCTCTCTGTCTCTCTCTCTTTTCTTTCTTTTTTTTTCTCTCTCTCTGTCTCTCTCTCTCTTACACAGGTCAATATTGGCTATGCAGATTATCCAGTACGAGGCCTTTCAAGATATCAACTTTGGGCAATTTTAAAACCATATTGCAATTGCTGTTCGGTTTGAGTAATGCGCTATTCTAATCTTGGCACGATTCAATAGAGTGACACACCAAACTACTGAACGTGCCTTAGGATGACTTTTCGTAAGTCTCTTATACCTGTTTAGATTTTACATCCCCCGACGATTGTGTGTCAACTTCTTTTTTTTTTTAATGAGTGTATTCATTTTATTTACAGAAAGACAGTTTTCTGTACTACGGGATAAACAGATCGAGAATGAGCGTTGGGTATATCGGTGGTCTAGGATGATATAGTCCGCCTTTATAAAATGGACTATACTCTTCGTAACGTATGCTCAAAGCCTTATTGGTGTTAAATATGTGCTTAAAGATAAACTAGAGTTCTGGTAAATGTGGAAATTAAATTTTCACAGAATCCAACGAAACTAACACTGAATGTTCAAGATTACAAATAAATGACATGTGCCAAACAATTTTGTTGGAAAATATATAGTGGCTGTGTAATGAGCATAGAAAGAAAAGGAAATCCGGGTAAGTAGGCTCGACACCCATGTGCTTAACACAGATCACTATGTGCAAATGGGACTTGGGTTTTTTTTATCGGAGATAATGTCCAGTAAGTTGTTGTGCGTTCGTTTTTATTTCACTGGCTCAAAAACCAATCTACTGCAGTATAAACAATCGAGAATAAATAATTTTCTCTTACCAGAGCTCAAAATTAGCTTCATTTAAGTAATTGAGTTAACGCCCTGCTAACTCCAAACTGACGATAATATCTCGTTTTATAAAAATGCTTTGCTCTTTGTTGTATTGTTAATGCACCTTCTCTTTATCACTTTCTCTTACTTGCCTCAAGCCGGTTGCCATCATTTTCAGATATACATCTTCTCTCAACATTCATATACCCCCTGCGTTTAACAAGAACTTCTTGTATTTCTTTTGGTCATACATGTATATCAAGCGTTTTCTGAATGCTTCATAATATTAGTGTAACAGCTAATGCCTAAACCCCATGTATTTATACTAAGACTATTGCCAATGACTACAACTGTTCATCTTCTTCTTTCAGAACATACATGATGTCAGCTGCATGCGATGCGTCATTTTGCTGAGTGACGTAGGACTGCGTCACCGACTTGTGCGTCTTGGTCTCGCCATCTTAGAATGATGTCTTCCCGGAATTGAATGAAAACGAATCAGAAATGAAAATCGCTTTGTATTACTAGTATATTGGGGTACTTGCCTTTACAGGCTTGATTACCACGTATAATGACGCAATCAAAATTACGCCTCTTGAGGAAGGGGCATTAGTTTCCGACGAACGCCAATCTTCACATATCTGTGAGATCATCGAATAAGATATAATCTTTAGCTTCATACGTTGAATTGCTGAACTTCTCTTCATCTTGTTTGCTCTTCGTCGAAGTACGATTAATAAACTTATATGTCAGATTAAAAGTGTATTGACACATTTCCTGTTTTTTATAATTCCTAGCGTAAACCCCCTTTTCACATGACTTTAATAACGGAGAAAGACACACAGGAAGTCTAGAATCAGGCAAGCTTTAGGCGAGCTAAGGAAAACAATAACTCTTAGTTCACTAGCACGTCATCTACGTCGATACTTATTTTAAAACAAATATCCTGAACTCACTTAATTCAAGTGGGAACAAAATGTTGAAACCTGTTAACAGTTGTCTCGAAAGTTAATAAAACAGATTGACGTAATTTCTATTTTGTTGTTGTTGTATACTTTAATGTCAAAGCACTTTGTTGATAGAGCAAACCAGAATGTGGTGGGTTTTCTTTCACATGGCCCCTTTATTTCCTTGCTTCATACTACTTTTATGACGTCACTTTTGCCATGCCTATATTCGTGCTCATTAATTACTATAGAGGTATACATTACACCCAAGTTCAAGTTCAGATTTTGTGCAATGAGGTATATAAGAGCCTTTCACATATGAATACATATCTACCGAGTTCGTCAAAATATCTGATGAATAAGACGATGATGATTTTTTTTTTAGGGGGGTTGGGGTGGAGGGGGGGGGGGGGGGGGAGGGCTAACACCTTGTGCCCAAATACCAACTCCTAACTTCTATATTTTGCGAGCAAGATAACGTTTTATTACATTTAATCATAGTGTATCCAGTATTGATGGATTGTGCGTCAAGTTCAGAAACTTTCAGATTGTAATGTTAGCATAAAGGATTACTAGAGCAGCGTTTTCCATTTTTGTTAGTGACGGCCCCCTTTTTTCAGGTATAAAAGCGGGGGGGGGGGGGGGTCGAGGGTACTGTCCCTTCCCAAAGTATCTTTATCTTAAATCAATTTATGTCCTTGATAATGATACTGATACTCCATGGCATGGTTGAATTCACGCTTGATTGAAAATTACGACCTCAACTTTAAATATCAATATTCGTAACTACAATAAAAATACACCTATCGGTTTTATAAATTGTATTGTGTATGTTTTTTCTTCTGCATTTGTATATCATTGAACTAAATGAGTGTCGAACATTTTGTCATTCATATCTTTCTGTTTATCATGGGTGGTATACACAACTTTAAAGTCTATTGTATACTATATTAACTTATATTATTGTTCATCCAATTATACTTAAGGGACAGTTATGGATGTTGGACGTTCATTAATTAACATCGTAGGGCATAACGAATCCGTTATTCAAACTAGGATATGTTCATTCTTTATACAAAATAATGCGAGCTATATTCTCGAACGATATGTAGCGTGTGTGCATTAAACATTACACTACTCTTCTGTATTGCAGTGTGTGTGAGTTTGTAAATGTGTGTGTGCAAATCAGGTAGACTTGGCATCGATTCATGCTAGTCTCTCCATTTGCACAGGGATCCTCTTCCCCGTTAACTTACATTTTGTTAGGTTTGCCGATGACTTGTGCGGAAACCAGTCATTATGGGTTCCTAGGCTGTTGTTTCTCGTCAACTGCGTAGGGGTTCCATGGAGTTAAAGGGATATAATCGACCACTTTCATCCGTTGTATATGTATGTTTTCGAATAGCATAGTATATTTAATATGAAGTGCGATGTAATTTTACAAATCATTGTCTCGATGGCGTGATTCCCTCAAATGAATGGAAACTGTGCAAGTATCATGTCCTTTTTCACAAGATGCTGTTTTGAGGAAAGAAACTACGTATAGACAAGCAGTAAATATAGTGAATGTAAATGTAAATGTAAATATAGTGAGTGTAAATGTATTTATTCCTGTTATTTTCTGCAAAATCCAAAACCATCTGTGGCTCGGGAGCTAGCGGATGGGGGGGGGGGGGGGGGGAGCTGAAGGAAAATATTATATTAGGAGACATTTTAAAGAAATATCATATTGTGAGACATTTTAATTTATGACGCATGTTATTCAGACGATTGTGCCGGTAACTTGATTTCTTCAATCGTTAAGAGTTCATTTTACTGTAGAAGTGTTGCCTTAATTATATCTCGCATTTATAATTATGAAATATGAATGTAAATGTATTTATTATAGTTATTTTCTGCAAAATCCAAAAAACAATCTGTGGATCGGGAGCTAGCGGATGGGGGGGGGGGGGGAACTGACGAGAAATACTATATTATATTATGAGACATTTTAATCTATGACCATGTTAAATGTAGGCAAAAGGAAATTGAGGGGCACATGCACACTATAAATAATTATCCATATTTATGTACATAGTTTTCTATTGTTAAATGTTATATTGTATTTTCTATCATTTGTATTTTCACTGTCAAAAAAGTCATTGGAAGCAAAATTTCAATGTAATGTTTGCATGCATGGGCCAATAAAATAATCTTGAATCTTGAATCTTGAATCTATATGCCTAAACAAATAACCTGAGAGACAATCAAAGCGTTGCCGTAATGTGTAATAAACTATACAAATGGGAATATTGTTATATTAACTAAATACGGAAAATATTTTCATCTTCACAAACTGTTTTGCTATAGAGGCTATATAGTGAGTAATTGGTATCCAATATGGAATGATGATATGCCCCCCGCAGGTGAATCAGATCTGATTAAACCAGGGTTAATCCACTCTTCAACAGGCTTATACGTTCCCACACAGGGATTGCTTTGATATCCTCTCCGGAATGGTGTACTCAATTTCAGTGTATGCATGGTCTCAGTCAATGTGCACATGTATACATAAATACTATAGTTATATGTTTATAATTGTACATGTAATATCATTGAGCTTATAACGAAATAATTTGGACAGTATTTCTTTACTTACATATACTTTGAAGATTATTTTAGTAACAGGATTGTGCACTTTTGTCATGATTGTGTTTGGTTATGATCTTTTACAACAAAATATGATTTTTGGTTAGGTGAGGAATCCTGCATTGGGGGGGGGGGGGGGGGAGGGCTACAGGTTTAGTTCACGCGTTTTCTAAATGCATCATAAATCTATCACAATATAAGGGAGTTTACAGATACAATCTGCGCATGGGCAGATAAAGGTCATTTGTACCAAAATGGTAAAACCCAGAGAGATGAATACTGGATATGCGCTCATAAAAGTTATGTAACATTATTCATTTAAGCACAAACGGTACATTCTATGATACGCAGGTGGAAGCATTCTTTTCAAGAGGTCAAACAAAAGGTATTCATGGAGCACATCTAGGACTTTGGCAGTTATTATTCTAAGATGCTCAAAGTGAAACTTCTCCATGTGTAAAAGATCTGTGGATATTTGTGTTACTGTGTTGTGAAAACATCACATTTCGTGTGCTGCTAGTCTAATTCCATACAAAGTCTTCTTGGGGCAGAAAATATGGTTGGATTTTGGCTGGAATGATGGCCCATGATGGCATGGTTTTTACCCTCTTACATATCTGTCAGTCAATAATTGTTCATTATAGTTTAAGGTCATCCACGATTGGGTGGATTATGTGTGAAATGTCTCATTTCCGCATAAGATGGGAACAGGCTGAAGTTGGTCTTGAATGTGGCAAAGAGGAATGAAGGACGGTACCTGATTGTCGAATCATATTACAGGAATGTGATTCGAATTAGCTAGCTGTGTTTTCATTAAAATTAATACTTGTATACGCATACTTATTCCAGTAGAATCCAGTTATCACAATGAGAATAGATGGAAAAGCAGATAGGTGTGTTAATTTTGGCATTTAATTTCATTTGTAACTTCGAAAGCTAGCGCTGTAGAGTACAGATTAGCAGTCAACGCGCTATAACATATTTATATAAATACACTAATAAACAACTCTTCAATTATCAATACAATCTCTACCATAGAAATAACCTATTATTCAGATACAAAAGAAACCAGAAAGAAACGTATATACAATATCATACATTGTAAAATGTCCTTATATTTACACACTAATTTACATGTTAGTATGTACATATCGTTAACTAATATTATTACTAACTTCCTTTACACACCGGTTAACGTTATAATTATACAATACATGAAAACTCAACTTATCGTAGCTAATATATCAGTTGTTTTTGTCGGTGATATAAAGAGATAGACAAATGACGGAAATTTGGACATCTCACCCGTTCAAATAAGTGAAGTCCATCATACACACCAGCTTTCAACAACTAAACTTAAGGGAAATTGCATTTAGTGTTGGACATGACTTTAATTTGAACTCTCCCAAAATAAAAAAAAAAAGATTTTCAATGGCCATATTGATTTTGAAATTATTATTGATAACACAAAAGGTGTGTGTCGGGGGGGGGGGGGGGTGTATTATCAGTCAGGCAGTCGGAGAAAGGCATAATTTGCTAAGAATCCAGAGATTTGAGATTAGTTGCCAATAGGTCTATTTTTTAAACTTCATAATGCATGTACTTACTTCGATCAGGGAGGTGACTTAATAACTCCTTGCTTCGATGATCGTTGGTAGAAATATAAAACATTCCCCGTTTATGTCTTTACCATACTGGTAGAAGAAATTTAAAAGATTGTTACAAAGTAATAGGTCACGTAAATGGCGATATGTTTTTTTTTAACTTTTACCTCAAAGGCTTGTTCCATTTGGGTAACAAGCCATCAATAAAAATACCAACATTGTGTTTAAAAAAAAAATCAGCCTCCGAATTTTAACGATTACAGGATTATGCCGAAGGTATATAATAATGCACGCTAGCTACTGTTATATCAGAGATATGCACAAACCTGTCATTGTCTCAAAACTAGGAACGGTACAAGGAACTTAAAGCGGGACTACATTACATGTATCTGCTTGCGCCCTTTATATAGCCAACAATGCCTAAGCGTTACCATGATCCCCTTTTTCTTATGTTCATTGAGAGCTGATTTGATAAAGTCTAATCCCTCCTGGCCAAACTAGTGCATATAGGCTTTAAGGAAGGTAAAATAATGTTTAATTATTGTGGTTCAAAGAGATTTCCTTGGAAACAGGACCAGTTTATAGCGGCCGTAGAAAAGCGATCTGAAACGTCTTGAGAAATAAAATCTGTATTATAAATATAATAGAATGGTCATTTTTTTTTTAAATAATATTTTTCGCTCGTCTTAGCAGCTGGAGGAATGAAAAACATATAAAAAGCTCGAAGACGAAGGTTTTACATGCAGTATAAAATTAGGTCCATCATCCTGGAATGTGACCATTGGTATCTTAATTTCAAGCTGAAGCCTACTCACCATTTATCACTTCCTAGAAGTTAAAATATTAGCAAGTTTTCGTCGAGGTATTTAGGTATTTGGTGACGATAACATTTTGATATGAAATTATCCTCCACATTACGCAGGAAATAACCAAGTCAACATATCAAGAACTCCAAACTTCCATAAAGCAAATATAGAGTCCTACCCAATTATTTCAAGGTAACCTGCACTATCTGGTCTATTGACGTCGTAAAACATCGTGGACTTTCCATTATTTGTTCTTCCATTTTCTTGGGAAGCTTGATCCACCCTCTGCCCACTCGGAAAGTTTGGTGAGACGTATCCGTACGTTTCACACCGCGCAATACTTCGCGATGTTCTAATAATAGGAACCTTTGGTTCCGTTTTCTCTCGGCACGACCTCGCGACGATTCGTTGTGCGGACGTCCCAGTTAGTCCGCCATTCATGTTGTTATTGCCGGTTCCAGGACCGCTGTGCATAGGACCAAAGTTTTCTCTTTTGAGCAGTGCGCCAACAGCGTACGCATTAGTGTTAAGGGACTTGGAGTTGGAGATGGGTACCTCTGCGTAAGCGTATGCGTAGGTATCTTCAGGAGGCAGCGACTTACGCGACATTCTAGAAGCAAGAGACATGATTCCTTGACTCATCATAGGGCGAATGCTGACAAGCGGTGCCGACTGGGCCTTCTTACGTCGGAGCCTGTAGATCACGGCCGCAATTGCTGCACAAACCAGCATTATCGCGAACGTTGTGACAACAGCAACATAAATTGTTGCATGATTTTGATGAGAATCTAAACCGCCGTCTGCAAGGTTTAATTCGACTACGCTCCATGAACTTGAACCATCAACATATCTCACAGAGCAAATGTACAATCCAGCATCTTTGTGTTTAACTTCCTTGAGGAAAAGTGTTCCATTTGGTAAAAGTCGGTATCTACGATCAGATGGAACGGCTCCATTGGATGATTCAACTGAAGAGGAAGAGAGGTAAGTAGGTGTTGGTGTGTACCATGCAAGCTGACTTTCGTTAACCCTCGAAATAGGGCAATCAAATTGGACCTCAGATCCCAAATCTATCGTAGATTTGTGGACCATTGAAACGAGAGACGTGACGCAATTCTTCATGATTGTTTTGACTGGTACGGACCACAAGTCCTGACCCTCAACAAGGTCAGGTGTACTACAAGTGATACCGGGTTGTGTTAGGAACTGTGGACGCCGCTCCATAAAAGCCATCCTTACATTAAGAAGGCTACAGTCACAGTGCCATTCATTGTCACTTAGATTTACCTGCTGGATGCGGCTGAGAGAATGCAATGAAAACTCATGAAGTGCCGTAAAACGATTGCTCGTCAGTGATACGTACCTCACCGACTGCGGCATGTTGGCAAACACATCCCATCTGATGGTCTCTGAAAACTCATTGCCGTCAAGATAGACTGTCCGTAGCTTTGGCAATCCTGCAAATGTGCTCACGTGCATGCTTGTTAGACCACAGCCATTTAGTGTGATCTTGGTAATGTTTGTAAGATCACTGAAGACTCCTTTGGCAATACCTGTTAAGTGATGATTATCGCTCATGTTGAGATACGCAAGACTATGAAGACCTTTCAGGAGGATCGGAGGGATCTGTTTCAAGTCACACATTCCCATATTGAGTATCTGCATGTTCTTATTGTTGTGAAACACTGTTGAGGGGAGACCTCTTAATCGGTTGTCATATAGGTCAAGCTGTATTAAAGCTGGTAACGACACAAATGTTAGCTGATCAACAGTCGTTACCCAATTACCCTCCAATTGTAAGTGTGTTAATTTCATGAGACCGTTGAAAGCCCCTCTCGCAAGGACTTTTATTCTATTGTATCTGAGATCCAGGATTAAAAGCCTGGTTAAAAGTAAAAACGTATTGTCGTTCAAGACACTCAGTACGTTTTTGTCAACGTGTAATTCCTTAAGATAGGTGAGATCACTAAAGTGGTCCTGATTAAGTACATGAATTAAGTTTGTGCTTATGCTTAAGATTTCGGTATTTGGTGGGATATCGGCGGGAAAATCCCACAGCGCCGATCCGCTGCAGTCCACTCTGTCTTGCAACAAACACCGACATGACGTAGGACAAAGCGAAAAGGTCGGCGTTGTTTTGATGAACAGTATCGCGACTATTATTACACAGCATTGTCCAACACATACTCTTGAAATATTCTCCATCTTTGCTTTGGGGTGCTCCTGATTTATCAATCTAAATCGCAGATAATCTCAACGGTTTTTCTTACATCGGTAAGCATGTCTTTTATCCTTACAGGATGGCAAATAGAAACGAGTGACTGGATGGGCAGAAGAAACAAATGAAGTCTTCAGGAAGCATCAGTATTTACTCCATCTTTCGCGTAGGTCACTGTAAAGAGAGTTAAAAGGATCAAGAATTATTACTAAATAAAATGTTGATTATTTAGGAAGATAATTTACTCTAAGATGGAAAAGCGAATTTGTTGTTAAGAATAAGAAGACGACTCTGGATGAGGTATCTACGATGTTTTCATGGTCATGCAAGAACCATTTGAAATTACAAATGATGTATTTTATTTTGCTTTTGGGCTTTTCCATTTACGTTTTGAAAAGATTTGAAGAGCCATTTCCGTTTTCCCTTCTCTCTTAGATAAACTTACTATTAACTGGACTAAGATTAAACTAGTAAAGTGAATCAAGGAAAAGGATGTAGGCCTATAAGGAATGATGCTTCAGAATGAAAGTATTACGCTCACTCTTATGAGGACAATCGCAATATGGCTGCCAAACAATGACTCGACAGGACCGACAAATCATCCAAATGTAAGGTTGATGTAAAATCAGTCAAGCTGGCAGGTATTCAAGATTACCAAAGATTTAGTAGAGGCATATCGTCCGAAACAATCACGTCCAATATTCGGTGCAGCGAATGAATACAATCAGTATGGGGAACAAAATTGTTTGAAACAACACGGATAGATTGACATCCGATCAAAAAAATGTTGTCAGCAACCAGCATGTCGTAGGAAAAATTTCCTCTGACCATTTTATGGTCCATATTAACTGAAGGAGTCCACACATATTCTTTCCTGATTTGATTAAGTAGATCATTTTGTCACCCAACGACAGATGAGGAACGTCCGGATGGCTGAGTGGCCCACATTGTCTCTGCTTCATAGTTTATAAAATCCTTTTTAACAGTGTACCTCAACATGACATTTACAAGGTATACTGTAAGTGCAAAGGTATTATGTTTGTAGGATTTATAGATTCATTAATTATTGTATTGACTCCTACAGAATTTAAAATTTTTCCTATGATTTTTCTTTCAAAATCTTCCATCAGCAAGTATTTATTAAGAGGAGTATCCAGTTAGTTTATCAGCAATGGGGCTTGAGTTTGTTTGGTCGTATTTTGCAAGTCAGGAAATCATCTTAATATTTAAATAACAATTTGTAACGAATAAACAGCTACGTCATTTGACTTTGATATTACGTAGGTAAACATATCATGGAACAGGGCCGGGGATTATATCTTTTTCAGACACTTGTTTTTTTATCACGTATTTCATCATGTTAATCAGTATAAAACCACCGTGCATGGCACTGTAGCATACTTGGCTTCAACTTGTTCTTTGAGCAGTAGCGGTTCTATAGGGTAGCTTGGGGGCCCACGCCCCCTCTATAACATTTCTTCAAGCCCCCCCCCCCCCACACACACAAAAAATATATGTTTCTTGAGCCGCTTCTGCCTTTGAGAAGGCATTAAAATAATTTGATGATTTGATCAATATTTTTCCAACTCATAAGTTCACCAATCATCGAAGATTTTTACAATTCGTTGACTAATGAATTCTTTCATTTCCGTTGGCTTCATACATGGACCATCCGGTTCCAGTATAGGCAAAGGGTGATACACAAAAGCTGTAATCGGAATTTTAGGGTGATGTGCTGTTCGTGGAGAAGGGAGATGCCCGCATATTAGTTAAAGGTGTCCATCTACGCTTATACAAAGACTATGTAACCCTCCAAGACGACGTCTCTGACATCAAAAACTTCCACCCGTTTCCTTGTTAACGCCTGTCTTTTCTCCTCTTTTCTCTTTTGAACGGATCAAGACATCCTTCTTGCACTGAAATATAGCAAACGTTAAGAAGGAACATAGCCCACTCATATCACGTATATTGTTCTCTATAGACAGATACTAAGTGGTAGTAGCGTAGTACTCATCATCATCATTCTGATCAAACTTTTTAAAAAATTAGGAAGAAATAATAACGGTATGATAAGGAACAAACTTATAGTTAGTATGGACATGAATAACTGAGCACACTTACATTGATTTTCCGTAATTGAGATTAAAAACCTATATCATAACTCCCTCAAGTCCGCGTAATGATACATCATAATTAAAACACAAGCTCTTGGGAGCCCTGAGAAATCACATCACAGCTTTATCAAGTTCGTTGACGAAGTAAGCTAGGTTTGAAACAAAATTGAGCATTTCCATGTTCCAGGTTAACGGCCCCTTTTTTCCATTGATCACCGTGCCTTTCAAGGACCCGCAATGACAGCGAACAACATAATGCTTCCTCTTATCAGTGAGGTGTCTCTAGCTTGAGAGGCGATCCTGCATGTAACCTACCCAGATAGAATGGCAACGTTGGCAAGCTCAACATATAACGTAAGCATCTACTATTGAAGATGGAACGTTGTGACTGCTGTGATACATGCTGTATTATTGCGAATGAAAAGGGGAAATATGGCATGACAGGTGGGAATCAATGTCTCATGTCAGAGGCCCACATCAGTCATAACAATCCACCGGGGTAATTCCCCTTCCTCTAATCAGTTCCTCTTGCCCCCTTTCCTGTGAGAGAACACGATAGGAGAAGACCTCATTTCATTATCGCCCTTACAACTCTGTGATTGCTTCACGTTATGTTTGGGTATAGCAAAACATTGGTGTGTAGTACATTTCAACATCTGTCGCTCACACGTATACATTTCTGCGTTTGTAAATGATTACATGAGTTGAAACACAGTATGATATCATTTTCTTTCCCTTGAACGTGCACTACCCGTATTAACCCCTCACATTTATTACATGCACACACTTTACTCTTTCCCATTCAATCCATTATAAACAATGATAATAATCACCCATAACAAATCTTAGCTTTGCAATTTTCCACACTTTGAATATTTGTTGAAATACTTTCAACAGATAGTACGCTAACATTGTCCTGTAAAGCAATTGTTCTATTGTTGCATCATAATGTATTTGTCAGCTGCGCCTCATACTAACGTGACTTTTTTTTTAGCAGGGGGTTTTTTTTACTCAAAAGTTTGGTTCACTTGATAAGCTAGACAATGTCGGATTTATAGCTTCATTCATGACATATGAGTTGACCATATTTTTTTCACAATTCAATGTAAATATCATAGGCCACAAAAAACACGTCCTCAAATAAATATTCATTATTAAACAAGCAATAGATATTTTCTTTGGAAAAATGTCATACTTACCCAGAGTTTATATGGGTTTTAGAACAAATACATATATACATGTATGCGACGTCAATATTCACATATCTTTACATTTCCAAATAATTCAAGTATACTGAGACAATACAAAGTATAAAGAATACATGCCCTTGGACAAGGCTCTACAACTTCGTGCAATTAGTAAATAATCATGTCTGATTACGTCTGTAAAAACCCAATTACACACACATAATTCAGTGCCAGTCCTTGGCAATATGATTAGTTGATATACAACTCTACAAAAACTAAAAACGCGTTCAAAGTAATGATCTGTATATCTTAAGACATTAGCAAATTGTGGCAGAACTTGATAATGCAATCTAGAACATAAGGTCGAATTTAGGGCGGAGATCAATTTCAGTTCTCAAAGTACGTGCTCCTAAGAGTTGCACACACTTATTTCATTGCACATGTAGTCACTCGAACTCGGTACGTAAATCCAAATTTGCCTAAAAATGACTTTCAAACAAATTACATTTCTATCAAATTCCTCCTATTTTCAAGATGTAAGTTATATGCGTTATTTTCAGAGATTCGATTTCGCTATAAAACAAGCACATACATGTACAATCATTATTTTGTTAGTGTAAATTCTCTTAGCATTCACTGTATCGAATGAAAATTTAGTTTTTGGGACAAGAAATAAACAAGAAAATGGCGAGAAGAATTCTTTGTTCTAAGTTAAAGTTCATTAATTTTCCACAAATAATAAAAGTACAAAAGTAAGTAATACACGGAAAACTGCAAGAAAAACATTGGAACAAAATTCAAATTATTTAATCATAAAAGAGTCAGATAGCTTGAGGAAAACAACGTCTGACGAATTGCAGGTACGAATGTCGCAATACATGACGTAGACAATATAGAGGGTCTAACATGATAACGGGTATTCAAAGAGTGTAGGCTACAACAACAACAACAACAACAGCAACAAAACAAATCTCCATCATTATACTTCACTATTTTGACATACCCTCGAATGCCCATCATCCATAATATCCAAACAAGCAACCCTAACATCATCTGTACATTCGGCCATCAAATCGAGAAGACGTTACATCTACTTTTTTTCTTTTGTTGCTGTTTTTTATATATATATATCTTAATTCATCATCTTTTTCCAACGCATTTTTGTCCTCGAAATATGTGACGTCATTTAATGTCTAGTGAGACAGGAAAACGAAAATGTGATTTTGGGGGAGAGATCGTTATCGAAAATTTTCTTGGCGAGGCAATAGGGGAAGTGACGGCAATGAGGTCCTTCGTGATATCCAGGTATGCAGTTAAGAATGTTGAAGAAAGAAGATACAATCAGCCTGGTCTATAAGGTTTTATGTTATGGGGGTCGTACGAAGTCAATTGAATTCCCAAGGAGAGCAAGGGCAAAATTCATTTTAAGAGTAACTGTTTTCAATATTTTCCACACAAGAAACTTGCAATATTTCCCCATTATTTTAAAGAAATAATCATTATGAGAGATTTTAGTGCTTTTGGAGTAGGCATGTAGGCCTATAATGATTATAAGTGAAAGATAACACTCATGCATGCATCATACATTAAGTGCAAATGAAAATATTATTAATAGATGACCCTTCATGGAAGCCATAAAGAAATAATACAATGTGCAATGAGGATTTTTTCTTTCTTTCTTGGGCAAAGCTTTGTCATCTGTTCTGAACTTCAAGAAGACGGGGTATTAGCTTTGTTTGAGAAAGTTAACACTAAATTAAACGATTAAAAATACATGCGGGAGAATTCAGGCTAAATGTTCATGATACGTAATATTTGAAATAAGAGGGGAAAAAACAGACAACAAATCCTGGAAAAAAACGCTTTCACATGCCCAACCCATTGAAAATGCCGAACCCTCACATCTTATATGATCTGGTTGAAGTTGCGCCAATACACGTCTTACTTCATCCTCCGTGACTCACGCTATAGACGGAGTGTTAACCCTTGATAATCGCAGGGTTCGGTTCAAATTTCGAGAAATGAAATAAGAAATCATTTATTATTACAGGGGGTATGTGCTAAAAGCGTGATGATATGTGCAATCAGGGGGCATTATGAAGCCGAGAAGGCCTGCGGGGGCCCGAGAGAGGAAACGGCCAAGAAGCGAATTTAGCCACGTTCTGGTTCCATTTCCTTGCCAGCATTTTCGCCCCGAAAGACAGAAAGGGGAAGAGGAGATCAATGGATAGAGAGAGAGAGAGAGAGAGAAGAAGAGAAAGGGAGTGAGTGATTAAGAGAGAGAGAGGGAGAGAGAGAGAAAGAGGTGGTTTTGCATACTCCCTATTTTAGAGACTAATTTGGTTTATTCGTATTTCTAAGGTTTCAATAATCTAATTATTTGATGTGATAATAAGAATGATGGACACCCCATCCCTATCAGAAAAAAATATTAAAAGAGCACACGTGGATAGGATGAGAGCAGCAGAAGAGAAAGTGAGGCGAATGAAAGAAAGAAAGTTAAATAGAGTTTAGATGGGGTGGGGGTACACGAAGATTCATTATTTATAAAGTTATATATTCCGAAGGTCATAATCGTGCTAACCCACTAACCCCCATTTCCCTCACCAGAGGAATTAATGCCAAGAAAAATTAAAGGTCTTTCGATCGTACAACTGTATTTAATCAAAAGCTTAAAAAGGATCAAAAGGTAGAAATGGAAGGAGGTGGGACTCACAAATCAGGACAATTTACAAGGGAGTTCAAAATAATGACCGTTAAAATGAGACTGACGTAAAGCAAATGAAAGCCGATATTAAACCGCAAAGAGAATGGTTTGTGAACTTGAAAGTTGTAAAGTTGATCTACCTGACATAAAATTATTATTAGCAACAATTTCATTCACATAATAAATGACAGTTTCCTAATTCCATATTAAATCACCAAACTTCCATTTTGATATTCTTTCAGATATATAACTTCTTTCTGTAAAATGGCTCTCCCATTACCTATATGCTGCCACATGTTCATCATTACCATTCACACATTTTTAAAGAAAAAAAATAAATAAAAGTGTTCCAAATGATGCGGCGATTTTTATTTTGGTTATGGAAAACAACAAAACGGGGTTATCAACATGGCCATGTATATACAAATATGGAAGAAGAACAAAGATTAAGTTCCAAATCTTTTAGTATATTGGAAAAAGAAAAAATTAGGACTTGGCTTTCATTCTTAACCAGGCTCGACCATAAAGGTGTTAAGGTGGTTTTCTATAAATTAAAAAAAATAGAATCTATACAGGTTGTGAGGAAGAATAATTCAGTTATCCATTATCAGAAGCGAACATTTTATCAAAATTAATGGAGGAGTACATTTTGTATTTTCACCAAAATATAAAGATGTATTTACAGCAATAACCTGTTGACACAGCGTATTTGAAAACCAATCTAAGCAAAACAAGCAAACAAACACATTCTACTCAGAAAATTCACAGGAGTAGACGAAATCTTGGGCAACAGAATTCAAGGTTGGTAGAAGCTTCAAAAACTACATTTTAAATTCTACTCACTTTGAAATTTTCAACTTGCTTGACATCGTCTGGTATATAAACAAAATACTTCCACTGAGTTTAAATCTCATGGGTCGAATGCATGATTCTACTCAGAAAATTTTCGGATTCTTAAGAAAGTGGTGTTTCCAAGCTCTGCCCTAGATCATATGTCTCTGTGAAATATCTCAATACGAAATTATATCGCAATTGAGTCGTGTATCCGAACTCTGCAATATCCTTAATCATATATGTCTCCGTAAGATAGCTCAACTTGACTTCAACTATAAATATGAGTCAACGTTGTAAACATTTGGGGGAGGAAATGTAAGGAACGCTTCACTAGACCTATGCCCTTTCCACAGAGTAAGGAGTGATTGAAGTATGAGAGTGGACACAAGGAAATGGATTTCCGAAGCAACAGAGGACAAGTTGCGTGCTTGAGACTCGAGGGATTCTTCAAATTTCATTCCAATCTATGAGTCAGTGTGTTGTTTGACATATTAGTTTCCATGCAGGAAAAATTTGAATTAAATATCACCTTGCGTTATCCTTCCTCATTACAACATTTATCAGCTTCACTTACCGATTAATATTTGAGAACATAATCAACGGACATTCCAGACGACTTTTAGACACTCTTGTTTTAGCCCATGCAAATCAAAATGAAAAGTAAAGCAAAAATGGT